AACAACAATAACAGTAAAGGATAGTGTTGATTGGCATATGACGGGTTGGCAAATACAACAGTTACCTAGGCAACTGTTACCTGCAACACCCACTAGCAACTGACCGTCAGCTACAAAGGGATGTGTGCTGAGTGAATCAGTTCCTGTGTGGACACTCCTTTAACTTTAACTGGCACTTCCAGTCTCCTGTTTTTGCTACCAGCTGGCTTTTGGCCCAGGTTGCTACTTTGGCCGCCCTTTAGGCCATTCAGCACCTTCCCACAAAGAATCTCACACAGTTGGATGTACTCCAATTCAACCTCAGGGACTGCTTGCTCTGCTCTGGTAATCTGCTGTGCACTTGAGGGCCAAATTAACCACAACCTGCAGGAGGTGAAAAGCTGGTTCATGTGCCGCTACGCTGAGCTCACCGAGGCAGCAGAGCAGAACAAAGACTACAAGCCGGCTGCTCCAGAGTTGGAGTTCATAAGCACTCACAAGAGGCACATAGATATACAGCTGTTATTTTCACAATTTAGTTAGCAAATATAATGTTTGCAAAGTAAAACTTCTGTGTTTATTTGTGCTTAATTGAAATCTGCGCCTGACATCTTCATGTCTTTGACTGTAATATTTAACATAGAGAGGGAGAAAGGGCGAGAGCAGGATGAAGACAGCAAAGAGACGGAGCAAAAATAAACAGGTAAGACAGGACATGTAGTAAAATTCACTAAAAATTATAAAGCTGTGTTGTCCCGTTATCGATTGTGGATCCCCCACTTGCTCTTATAATTATTATAAGGTTATATTTTTGTCATTTTTTTAATTTCTAGTTGAGTGCGGAGGACAGAGAGAGGACAAAGGAGAAAGAATGAGGCAGCAGATGGTGAAGTTAGCTGGAAAAACAATACTTATGTTTCACAAAGTAGTTTTTCGTGTATTTCATGGATGCTTTGCGTGCTTTCCAGTAGCACTTAAAAAAAATGCCAGTGGATATGCTAAACAAAGCATATTAATATGAATGGTAGTTTATTCAGGATTCATACCACCCTAAACATGGCTCAAACAGGATGGTATTTGGTCAATAACAAAAATACAACTCAATACTTTGTAACATAACCTTTGTTGGCAATAACAGAGGTCAAACGTTTACTATAGGTCTTTACCAGGTTT